CGGGGCGGTGCCGGGGCAGCGCTGGGAGCGGGGCTGGGGCCTGCATCGGGTCCATACTGGGGCCACACTGGGAAGGGGACTGGGTCCATACTGGGTCCATACTGGGAGCGGGACTGGGCTGAGCCGGGACCGCAGCAGGGCTGCACTGGGCAGGTACCGGGCTGCCGGGTTAATTACCAAAAGCTCATTAAAGTCAGCAACGACTCAACCTACTTCCAGAATCCTCTGGCAGCCTGAGCCCTGTGGGGCCTCCCTGCCGAAGGCTCCGATAACGGCCGTTTTCCAGCAGCTACGCCCAGGCAGGGGCTGTACACCACCTACCAGGGATATTTGGGTGGCAAGGCTCCCCACAGGCTGGGTCTAGCAGGAAGCTTTCCTGCGGGAACACAGGGCCAGCAGTTTGGCCCTGCTAGGCTGAGCTTGGCTGGAAACGATGCCCAAGCCAGCATGGAGGGAACAGGCATCCCAGCGGGGAGCTCCAGGGGGGGTCACAGCAGAAAAGCCAGGTGACCTCGAGCACAGGCCCATCACCTTCAGGCCCTGCACCGGATGTAAAAAAACACAACTTCTCCATTTCAGGGCATTCTGGGCATTTTTTGGGTGGTTTTTTTAACAGCTCTGGAAAGCACCGTCCACCACCCGGGGTTGTTTTCTCCAAGACTGTACCCACTGTCTAGTCTTTAAAAGCAAAAAACTAATTATCCCACCTGCCCATGGGTTCAGAGCACCTTCAAATTCGGTGCCCTGCAGCAGCGCTCACAGGCACCCGGGCATCTCTCAGAGACAGTGGCTGGCTACCATGGCCGGGGTAGCCAGGCTCCTTCCCTCTGGCAGCCAGGCTTCCTCCCACCCAGGAGAGGGGCAAGGAGGCAGCTGGAGGATGCTGGCACATCCCTCCTGCGGAATCCCCCTTGGCACAGGGTAAGGTGAACAGGATGCACCTGTAGCGCCTCACCACTACTAATTAAAATAAATAAATATATATACTGAGTCTGCAGCCTTGGATTAACCCAAGAGAAGAGCGGAGGTATCCAACGCACAGCCACCGCCTCCTTGGCACCTCCTTCTCCCACTATAGCTTTAACTTTGTGGTACGCTTGTATCAAATGGCCACACAGCTCGGACGGAAGGTACGGGAATAACCCGGTTTCCAGGCCTGCATGCTCTGCAGAGTCCAGCGATGCAGGATACAAACACAAAAAACCCCCCGTTTTCCAATAAAATTCTCAGTAAGTTCAAAGCCCCCCCATACACAGATATCAGCATTCGTATTGACGTGCTTTACATTCGGGAGTAACTGCGTAGCACTAGGGAAATCTGAACAAAACCCTTTTCTTGCAGCCTTTCCTAGAAAATAAAAGGAATTCCTACAGTAAACTGCTCCATTTCCAAACTCCCCCGTATTTCCCCACAACCCGCCCAACTGTGCTGAAGCCCGGCATGTCTCCATCTGAAAAAGCCCTGGAAAACCCAAGGAGGGAGAGCTGCGACAGGTGAAGCCTCGCACCGAGAGGTGCATTTATTAAAACACATCACAGGGAGCAGCAGCAGCGCCGAGCGCAGCCCCAGATCTCCTCTGTCGCAGGGAACAGCCGCGCACACCCCCAGGCTGAGGGAGGATCAATGTGCGAGGCAGGGGCAGCACAAGAGGCTCTCGAAGACAGGTCAGAGACAGAGAAAGAACGAGGGGCGTAATACATATGGCAAGAAGGAAGTTTTCAATCAGGAAAAGGTCAAACGAAGCAGCAAGTGCTGCAGATCCCTCAGAGGTGGCTCCAGAGGAAGCCGGGCACGACCTCAGCATTGCCTCATGAGGGAATTCTGCGGAGAGCGAGCATTTGAGCAAAGCATCGGTTGCTTAACAGACTGCTGTGGTTACGTACTAGGTCACTACATTTACACATCTCGGGGCTCTATCAGCTCCCCCTCGCCACCCCAACGCGGGGTTCGTAGTCTCTCATTCCAAACTAGAGCTGGCAGGCAGTCATGGTTGCCCCTAAAAGGCTGGAGGATAGGAAGGTTTGGGGGTTACACAAGTGGCGACACAGCCGTGTCATGTTGCCGGCCTCCAGGGCTCCTATTTCTTTCTGCCGCCTCTTTCTTTGAGCGCCAGGTGAATCAGAGAGCCGCTTGCCATGTTGTAATAAGCCAGGGAGTTCGAGTCCTTGATGAAGATGCCCTGAGAAGAAAAAAAAAAAAAACAAAAAAACCCCACAAACCCAAACCAGTCACA